GGGAGGGGCACAGACCCATAGCGGGGGGGGGGCACAGAGCAGATGTGAGGGGCGCAGACCCATAGCAGGGGGGGCACAGAGCGGATGTGAGGGGCGCGGACCCATAGCAGGGGGGGCACAGAGCGGATGTGAGGGAAGAACTGGGGAGTGGAGTGATGCAGCTGGGAGCCAGTAGAATGGACCAGTCAGGGCTGGGTTGCTCGGATTCCCCCTGCTGCTGCTGGTGAGTGCAGGGGTGGGCTTGACCTCTGCTGCCAAAGCAGGCCTCCTGCTAATCCCTCAGGCCACACATCACTGGAGCGGGGGTGAGAAGAGGCAGGGTAGGGCTGGAGCAGGGGTGGGATTTTAGGGGAAGGGTGGAGAGTGGTGGGGCAGAGCAGGGGTAGAAGCAAGGTGGTGTCCTAGGCCCTGCACTCAAAGAGGGATACCCTTGCTGGGCACAGCCCATGGGGTGCTGGCCGGGGGATGGGGCTAACTCTAGGAGCCAGTGCCACCCCATCTGGAGCATTAAGCTGCATAAGTCACCATAAATTCCATGGTGTCTTATGCAGCTTCATATTTTGTCTATGGCTAGGGATGGCCTTAAGTAAATCGTCAGATGAACAGGTGGTAAAAATATTTAGGTTTGAAAAGCCTTGAGATGTCAATAGAAATCTGTAATTGCAACATTTCACTGACTTTTCTGCTGCCAGACGTGCCCTGCAGGGCACCTGCAGGTGTCTAAGTGACATACAATCCTTGACATGACTTGTGCTATACAGTTCAGTGGGGCCATGACTTAAACACAAGTGGCTACGTCTAGACTGGCATGATTTTCCACAAATGCTTTTAACGGAAAAGTTTTTCCGTTAAAAGCATTTGCGGAAAAGAGTGTCTAGATTGGCACGGACGCTTTTCCGCAAAAGCACTTTTTGTGAAAAAGCATCCATGCCAATCTAGACGTGGATTTGCGCAAGAAAGCCCCAATCGCCATTTTCGCGATTGGGGCTTTTTTGTGAAAAACAATAACGCGTTGTCTACACTGGCCCTCTTGCGCAAAAGCATTTGCGCAAGAGGGCTTTTGCCCAAAAGGGAGCAGCATAGTATTTCTGCAAGAACACTGACAATCTTACATGAGATCATCAGTGTTCTTGCAGAAATTCAAGCGGCCAGTGTAGACAGCTGGCAAGTTTTTCTGCAAAAGCAGCTGCTTTTGGGGAAAAACTTGCCAGTCTAGACGCAGCCAAGTGTGTACACAGGTAAGTCATTTTTTTCAAGTGAGACAGCACTTGGGGCTTGTAATCCAAAAGGCTTGTAATCCATTTTACATCTTATTTGTACTAATAAGGCTCCCTTATCTGTCTATATATTGGAACTGCGCTATGTTCTTTATGTGCCGCAGCCCCTTGGTCTGGGATACCTTCTGGTACAATCACCCAGGCTTTTATTGTCAGTTCCCACCACCTTCTATTTACAAAGTTTACAGTCAAGTCAGCCAGCTCCTTCGTGTACCTGAGAGCACACTGAGCCACACCCTGGCTCCTTGCTCTTCCTTCACCTTTCCTGGCTTCCTTCTTCTGCCTTATACAGTAATTTCTCATTTAACACTATAGATGCATTTCTGAAAATGTTTGTGCTAAGCGAAAACGTGCTATGCAGCGTCAATTTTCACATTAAAAATAATGGAGAAGGTGGGGGTTGCGTTTCAGGTGATGGTGACAAAGTCAATTTTTTGTTGGTGCTGGGTCATCAATGTTAACACGATATCTAGCAACACAAGTCACCGCAGGTTGTTAAAACACAAAGATAAACACGTGAGTGAGCGGAGGAGCGCTGTGACCATGTGTATACGCTCATGCATATTACCGCTGTTTTCAACAACTTATACCGCTGTGTGAAGTAGTCTGCCACTTGATTATTTTCGTGTCATTTTGGGGATGGTCATGTTATTCGAAAAACGTTCCCTAAAAAAAATCATGCTATTATGAAAATGTGTTAAGCAGGAACATGTGAAACGAGTAATTACTGTCTAGCCCTTGCCCACAGCTGTTTCTAATAGCCCTTCAGGCCTGGGCTTGCTCAGCTGTGGCCATCAACCTTTTCAGCCAGGCCACAGTGGCAGAGCTCTGGCCTAGCCAGCCATCTGTCACAGTGCCAGAATGATGAATCCACTAAAAACATGTTTGATTTTCAACAGGTGCAAGCCATCTCTTCAGGAGTGTCCCTGCCATTCTGGCAGAGCAATATAAAGGGAAGTGGGACAAGCAAGGTAAATATTAACAAGCTTTCACATCCAACGTTTTCCTTCAATCAATCAGTCAAGCAGTGTGAATCAGCAAATACAATGCTGTGCTTGATGGTGAATGAGCAATAGTGGCCATGTAATGAAATTGGAAAATACATTCAAATCTGCATTGCATGGCTTGCTGCACTGGCACTTCTAGGTATTTTTCAATGAACTCAAGAGTGGAATTCTGTAATGTGATATATTACAGATTATTATTATGGTCATTGGATTATTATGGGAAGATGTGTTCCCTTGTACTTGGCACTAAATGTGGAATTATGTACAGGGGAACTGACAGCCTCTGCAGACCCCTTGGCAAGATGGGAGGAGGTGGCTGTGTGTTTCTGGAAGGGGCATGGCCAGGGCAGCTAGCCCTCCCCAGTCCCCTGAGTTGCACAGAGCAGATGGCATGGCACTTCAGGAGCGATTTAAAGGGCCCGAGGCTCTGGCTCTTGTGCAATAGCAGTGATATTTCATGTAGCGCAGCCTTTCAGGAAACTCTGTGCATACAAAGGAAAATGGAATTTTAATGTAACTCTTGCCATTTCGAGGACTGAGTTTTAAAAAATAAAATGCTACTATGAAGACTGCGTTATGTTAATATAAATTTGAAAACTATTGTCTGTAGTGATAAGATGAAGGAATTCACAATATGCTTTTCTTTTATGGGTTGGTGAGACATTACAAATGGGAATATGCTATCAGAATGTTTTGCCAAATCATTATAAAATTGTTGGAATTATCATAGTACCAATAACATTTGTACATGCATTTGCACTTACAGATGGTGTTGATGGAAACCAAAGAATTAATAATATACAAAGGATTGGAAAACTGAAATTGTTGAACATGAGACAATGTGGTGGCCACAACTGTGGACCACTCATCTTAAAGGTATAGAATACCAAATTGCCTTTATTGTTTGTTAATTAGGTGCATTATGACATTTTCTAAATAGAAGTGTCACTAGTTTACAGCAGGGGTGAGGAGCCTTTTTTGGGTCAGGAGCTGCTGACCCACAGAAAAATCAGTTGGGGGGCTGCTCACAGGTGAGAAGCCAAAAAAACCCCCAACCCCCTCACTGACATGGCCCCTGACTGAGAAGGAGAAAGACACTCCCCATGTTTCCTTCACACACCAGAGCCTAGGGGGGCCCTGGATGCTGTGTCCTCCAGCCCAGCAGTGGGGCGGTGAGGATGGCTGGAGCACCAGTATGGGCTCCCTAATGTTGAAGGCAACCCCTGAGCCTCAAGGACCAGATCTACACACGTTGGGGCCACATTCGGCCCCTGGGCCTGAGAATCCCCACCCCTGGTTTACAGAAACCTATTTGGAGCATAAAGATATCAGAACTGTAGAAACACACACAAGGCTATCACTATGTTTAGAAGAGAAATCACAGTTCTATTAATGAAAGAGTCAGATAGTAACTTTATCCCATATACTCTGGTTTCATGTGAAGATAAGAGGAAGAGTGGAATTCTGTCACACAACAAATAGGTATCTAAACAAGGCTCACTGAGCGGGCGCGCAGTTCTGCGCATGTGCAGATCGCTCCACGCCAGCTCTTCCAGGGTGTAATCTACTCGCCACGGGCAAGTAGATTACACTATTTGTCAAGCCCTGGGTATCTTAAAGCCCCTATAGTGGGCCAAGTCACAGGTTCAGTTCTGAAATGGTGACTTTCTGAATTACATCTTTAAGTACCAGAAATATGGATGGGCTGAATGGTCACTATTGATAGAGCAGTGAAATAAAAGTGAGTATTTTTATATCCGGGGTAGTAAAGGAAAAGTTAGAGAAACATAATCTGTAAGTATAATTTAACATATGACCGACAAAAAGAAAAAATAGCTGCAAACCAGTAACTTAACTGAAAATTGATAGTAATAATTCAATATTTCTATTGAAAGCTTTGGTCATAACAATCTTCATTTGAGCACTTTTTGATCTTCCAAAGAGCGTGGCGAAATACAACATATACTGCAATCTTGTCACTTGTGAAAAAGAATTTGAAGCTTGCAGGATGATAAACATAGCATTGTATCAAACACGCACCATATTTTGAAGGAGATAAGTAAGCAGACTATGATTGTAGTAAAAAGAACAGAAGTCACAGTGAGTTAAATATAGATCCAACGTCATAATCTGCTCAAGGATCAGGATTATTGTAATAATTCCACAGCAGTGAACACGTTCATCAGCGCTGACAGTCATTTCTTAGGTAATGCTTACATATGGAAGGAATAGCATTTTATAAATCTTCAGAGGAATAACCAAGTTAGTCCGTAACAAAAAAACCTTAAACAACAAATAGTCTGGCAGCACTTCCGTTTAAGGACCTTTGATAAGTAACAGATGAGAAAATGAAATCACAGAATTTCTATTCACCGCTAACATTTATAAAATGAAAACACTAAACAAATAGTCTGGCAGCACTTTAAAGACTAACAAAACATGTAGATGGTATCATGAGCTTTCATGGGCACAGCCCACGAAGAAGTGGGCTGTGCCCACGAAAGCTCGTACCACCATTTACGTGTTTTGTTAGTCTTTAAAGTGCTGCCAGACTATTTGTTTAGTGTTTTCATTTTATAAATGTTAGCGGTGAATAGAAATTCTGTGATTTCATTTTCTCATCTGTTACTTATCAAAGGTCCAGTGTGACTTGTAAGAGGTGAGCATGTATGCCCTGCCTTCCAGAGGGAACCAGTGAAGAAAACATAATGGGTGAGAAGAAGGAATACAAGTGTAGCAAGTGTGTGAGATGGGGCATTTCATATGCTTTACTATGTGCTGGATACAAATAGGTTATAGCTCAGACATGCGTGAGGTAGCATAATTGGAAAGGTTCAGTAATTTACTGAATATGATAATTGCATTTTATGCAACTATCGTTTCTGCAGATGAAGTTAGGAATACTGACCTGTCTGTAATTTCATATTCGCTGCTTTGGGGTGCACCCATTGATGTGGATGCCCAGTACAAGCAGCAAAGAAAATTTCAGTTCAAATAAAGTTTGGCAAAGGTAAAAGCAACTAAAAGCAGGATCTTATAATGGAAAGTGTCAGGAATCCTGAAGTGGAGGTGTCACTCCCAGACACTCAGACTGAGCCATGTCAATTTAATCACTATTTACCAACAAGGGAGTTAAGTATGGCCATTGAACATACAGTTGTTATTTCAAATCATGTCTCAAGTTGGGGTGGTTAATAGTATGTCCCTGTTTCATGGATTTGAGCAGCTCTGCAGTGGGGTTTAAGGTACACAAAGTAATTTTATACTTTCATACAGAGATTTCAGAAGTTGCATGAATTAAGTATTTATTCTTGGCTTTAGCAGTACCACATAGCATATGAGAATAAAGAGGTAGTGTTCCCTCACTGTAATAGTCTTTGGTAAATGTGCTTGGTAATGGTGCACTGGCCCCAGGCTGGACTCTAGAGTTAATAGATCCTCAAGGAAGTTGCACAGGAGCCAGCCATAAGAGTCTGAGAGGAACAGCCAAGGAGGGCAATGCAGATCCCTAAAAGAAGATCTGGGAAGAGCCTGACTGGTTATTCTATTTAAGGAGTGAGGACTGGGTGACTGACAGGCAGAAAAAAAATCTAGCTCCCTGGACACAGCAGTGATTGTAGCAAGGACTGGGGAGCTAGAAAGTAGGGGTTTTAACTATCGTTTATTCATGTAAACATGCAACCGCTAGAAATTCTAGCAGTTAGACGTTTACATTCTCACATGTATCGCCTCCCACCTGCTCCCCCTCTGTGCTGCTGCCTCTTTCAGAGGCAGAAGTGCAAGGGTGGTGGGGGAGGTAGGCAGCTCTGTGGGAGCCAGTGCTCCTGCAGAGCTAGCTTTTAAGCTGGCTCTCCCCAGTACTGGTTCTCACCTGCCCCCCCCCAGCTGTCTCTCACAGAGGCAGCAGCACAGGGAGGGGGAGGAGGAAACAGGGGTGAGCTGACATGCACAGGCAGCTGCCAGCCACCTGCCTCCTATAGAGACATCAGTGCAGGGGGGGAGCCCTTCCCCACTACTGCCTCAGTGGGAAATGGGGGAGGGGAGTGGGGATCAGGTGGCTCTATGGGAGCCAGCACCCCATACAGAGGCAGCAAGGTGGGGGATTGTGTGTAGTTGATATGATTAACAGATAAGCTCAGGGTTAATAATGTAATTGACTATACACCTAACGTCCTACTAGGAAGAGCTCCTGCTCAGCTGCTGGGATGTGCCACCTGAGGCAAGTGCATGGGGTGCTGGGGCCACAGGGAAGCAGCCAGATCTCATTACTGAGGAAGTGGCAGGACAGCTGGACAGCAGCACTGACCCTGAAAGGGAGAAACAAATTGTGACATGGCTGGAGCACTCTGTCATGAATAGGAGCTGAAGTGACAGCAGGCATGGCACTGTGGCACAATGACCTGCGGAGGGAATCCTCATGGCAGATAGCAGGACCCACCAGCCTCAAGAGCATAGCCTGCGCGTGCACACACACACAAAGATACACCAACACAATTCTTAGCCTTGCGTCCCAGTTGTGGCTGGTACAAAGAAACAACCAGACAAGGCCTTTTCCTTGCTTCCATCTCTTGTCTCTCACTAATACAAAGAGCGTCAGCCACTAAGGCCAAGGACTGTGTGTTCTGTGTCCGTGCAGCACTGTGCTACTACACTAGAACACACATAAAGGAGATGCCTAGAGACCCTTACCAGAGGATCACTTTCCTGCAGACACACTAATACTGTGAACATTGCTTAGATTAGGCTTTTCTTCAAATAGGCTGCGTCTAGACTGGCATGATTTTGTGGAAATACTTTTAACGGAAAAGTTTTCCTGTTAAAAGTATTTCCGCAAAAGCACATCTAGATTGGCAAGGATGCTTTTGCACAAAAATCGCCATTTTAGCCATCGGGGCTTTTTTGCGCAAAACAATTCCTCCCTGTCTACACTGGCCCTCTTGAGCAAGTATTCTCGCGCAAGAGGGCTTTTTCCCAAGTGGGAGCGTGAAAGTATTTGCGTAAGAAGCACCTTGCGCAAATTCAAGCCGCCAGTGTATACAGTGTAGATGCCCGGTCTTGATGTGAAGATGACATGCTGGCAAACCCATCACTTTCCATGTGTTTTGTTCCAATGGTTGAACACATGTTCCTTATTTATAACTGTCATTTGCCTGGTTTCAGCTTCTAGACGTTGGTTCTTGTTAAGAGCAGAAGAATGGCTATACTGGGTCAGACCAACGTTCCTCTAATGTCCTGCCTTTCTCTGCTACATTACAGAGCCCATTAGTAGTTGGTACATTGTGCATACAGATCAAGCCACCTCTCAGGCTTCCCTTTGGCGAACTAAACAGATCACACTCTTGAGTCTTTCCCCATATGCAAAGGAATTTGAACATACCTCCTTCCCCTTTTCTCATTTTGCTGTTGCTTTGGTTTATTTCCAGTTGCAGCCCTCACGTCACCACAGAACCAAGCTGGCTTTTAACCAAACCTGTCCTCCTCTTTGATTGTGGAATACTTGCTTTTGGGCCATTACTACACTCTTCTCCAGCAGTGCCCAATTTCATTCACATTCCTGTTTCCTCTCCCAACCAATTATACTCCATTGTCATCACCGCTATGGAATCAGCCCTCAAAGCACCAAGCATATGACATGCTAAATCGGTTTTATTTGACCATGATGGCTGGTCCCTCAGCGCCCAGCAGATGCCTGCCTAGTGATTAATTCAGCTCTCAGAATGAAGTCCAAACTAGTTACCTCACTTCAGGAGTAATAATTTGTTAAATTACCATCTATAATTTTTAGAAACCTTAAATGATGATTTTACTACTGGCTACAAGAGAGCTCTAAGCATGTGTCACCCAAACAGAAGTCAATGCATTATAGACAGATGCTTACAGAGCAAGTCCTGTTCTCTGGTTTGACTCAGTGATCAGTAGTGCCACCAGTGTTCCCCTAAAGTTAACTATACATGGAGCCCTAAGCCTCTGACTGGGCAGGGCTGATTAATCCTGTGAAGCTGTGCCTCCCTGAAGTTTAGAGGGAACACTGCTGCCACTACCCCCATTTGGGCTTTGTTAATTAGTAGATTAAACCATCTGCACTTACGTCTGTGATTTGGAGTTATCAGGAATGCTAAAACAGATAATGGTGTCTAAAGTAGACTGCCATGGTCCCTACCCTTCCTATACAGGTTGTAACTACGCTCAAAGAGGGAGCTGTATTACTTTGTTTCAGCACAAACAATTAGGAGTCTGGTGGCACCTTAGAGACAAATATCTATTTGCGCAGAAGCTTTTTTGGGCTGCTTTGTCAGCAGCCTCTGGCAAAATGGGTTCCAGCCCACAAAAGCTTATGCCCAAAGAAATGTGCTAGTCTTTAGGGTACCACAGGACTCCAGGATGTAACCAAGGTTCCCTCAGCTGCTTAATGAACTCCACCCAGCCAGGGCTCCACCCATGGAGCTGCCTGGCTGGGGGAGGGGCACTTCTCCCTCAGCAACAGCAGCAGCTCCCCGAGCCTGTGGCTGGGCAGTGCTCATTAAGCAGCTGTGGAAACATGCTGCTGTGCAGTTTAGAGGGAACTTTGACAGTAACTAGGGATTTTAGCATTCTAAACATGCAAATCAGTACTCCTAAGTGCAGAGCTTTGCATGTGTCCTTATTAAACTTCATCCTATTTACCTCAGTCCATTTCTCCAGATCACTTTCAATTATGACCCTATCCTCCAAAGCACGTGCAACCCCTCCCCCCCCAGCTTGGTATCATCTGCAAACTTCATAACCGTACTCTCTATGCTAATATCTAAATCGTTGGTGAAGATATTGAACAGAATTGGCCCCAAAACAGACCCCCGCGGAACCCCACTTGCTATGTCCTTCCAGCATGATTGTGAACCGTTAATAACTACTCTCTGAGAATGGTTATCCAGCCAGTTATGCACCTACTTTATGATAGCCTCATTTAAGTTGTATTTGCCTAGTTTATTGATAAGAAAATCATGCAAGACTGTATCAAAAGCCTTACTAAAGTCTAGGTATACCACATCCACCGCTTCTCCCTTATCCACAAGACTCATTATCCTGTCAAAGAAAGCTATCAGATTGGTTTGACATGATTTGTTCTTTGCAAATCCATGCTGGCTGTTACCTATCCCCTTATTATCTTCCAGATGGATTCCTTAATTACTTGCTCCATTATCTTCCCTGGCACTGAACACACCAATTTATACCTGCTTTCCCCCAAATGTATAACTGTCACAAAACTGCCCCAAAACAATCAAATTTAAATCTTACTAGGGGGCCGTACCCCCTGCTTGCTATACTTGCCAACCCACCTCTTTCTGGAGGTAGGCAGCCCAGGCTGTCTCCCTGGCTGCCAGGAAGGTCCAGGATGTGGCTTGGGAGCTGTAGCCAGACAGAAACCCCCCTTCTCTTCCCCTCCTCCCTCTGACATCCTTGACAGTGAAACTCTGTCTTCAAAGGCTCCAGGGCCCTCAAGAGGTGCTGGAATAACAATGGCCCTAAATGCTAGACAGGAACCAGATAACAGCAGCAATTGGGCCAGCAGGCGGTCGGGGGTGGCCTAAGGCTACCTATGGCTGGTACCAGTATTGATACGCCTACACACACTGTCCCAGAAGAGGAATCTGTCGCCCCATCAGACAAAGAATGTCTGGCCCTAATGATTTAGATACCTCCCCTCACAGGTGCAAATTAAGCTTTGGACCCCCTGTGGGAACAGGCATCACAAAGACATTCCAACTTAATTGGCATTTTAATGACAAGAAGAAGCGTCTACGTGACCACAGGGGTATAAAGTAGGGCCCTGTGCCCCACTCTAATTGGAGATTCACCCAATACCTGCTGGTCAGGTGGTCTTGGACCCCTGAGATTTTAGGGACGCCTTAGTCTCGTACTGACTGCTTCCCATTGGGATTGAGAGGAACCTGGCTTCGCCAGAGTAAGGATTGCAGGAGTAAGAATATACCTGCTAGGTATCTGTTTTTGTGCGCATTTAATAAGAGCTCAGAGAACCAAAAGGATTTCATAGTACCTGTATGTGACTTTTTAGTGTAATTTCTGTCTTGTTCTCTTTGTAGTGGCTGTGTTATCTGTAACACAGCAGTAACATTTAACAGCTAAGCTTGCCTTGTAACAATAAAATAGTAACTGTTTAAGCTTTGACCTGACTCCTTCAGTTGCTGTAACAGAACCAGACACAATCAAAAGAACACAGCCGGTCAGGGGTAGACGCAGTGAGAGTTGGGCATTGGGGCTCTGCTGCCTCCATGGGGCAGATCCTTGGGGCACCCGTCAGCCTCCCCTAGTTGCATGCTGCGAAGGGACCCCGCCCTAGCACTTGAAGACTCAAGGCTATGTCTAGACTGGCATGATTTTCCGCAAATGCTTTTAATGGAAAATTTTTCCATTAAAAGCATTAGCAGAAAAGTGTGTCTAGATTGGCACGGATGCTTTTCTGCAAAAGCACTTTTTGCGGAAAAGCATCCGTGCCAATCTAGACACGCTTTTGCGCAAAAGTGCCCCGATCACCATTTTAGCCATCGGGGCGCAAAACAGTTCTGTGCTGTCTACACTGGCCCTCTTGCGCAAATGATTTGCGCAAGAGGGCTTTTGCCCGAACGGGAGCAGCACAGTATTTTCGCAAGAACCACTGATTTCTTACAGTAGGAAGTCAGTGCTCTTGCGGAAATTCAAGCGGCCAGTGTAGACAGCTGGCAAGTTTTTCCGCAAACTTGCCAGTCTAGACACAGCCCAAGTGTTTAATAGGCCTCACAGACCACTCACTGCCCCGACCACCGGCTAACAGGAGCCATGGCCTGCCCCCCACCCAGCCAGCCCTGTCTCTCCCCTCTTCATCCCGCCACCATGCCAGCCCTGTCTCTCTCTCACATGGGGAGGGGTGAGACCATGGCATGGCGGCAGCCCACTAGAGTAAGGGGAGGGAGGGCAGAGACAGGCAGGACAGAGAGTGATGTGATGTCACACTGTCATCCCGCAGGAATTTTTTTTTAATAGATAGAGATTTCTATTCACTATGCATGGAGCAGAAAGGACAGTTTCAGAGAAGTGCTTTCATAACATACTGGGAAGTGTTTTTACAGTTATGCCTATGCGCACAAGATACATATTACAATGCTTGAAAGGCAGTCACACATCTCAAAAACCTTTAAAAAAATGTTGAATCATCCTAACAATACTCAAACTGCTAAACAGCCAGTCACTTCAAAGGAGAGTGGTCCAAGAGCAGCTGTACTTTCATAAAAGGGCAGGCCTAGTCTCCGTGGTGAAACTGATCTAATACAAGTCTGCCTGACCAGTGCTTTGCGATGGTCACCTTGGGCTGCAAGGTCTAGGAGACAGCATTCATGTAGGATTGATCCTCCAAGTAACCAAGAGGTGGCCTCTGTTGCCCAGCCCAGGAGATAGGCACTGTCAGTGGGATGCTAGGATCCAGGGCCTAACAAAATTCTTCCTTCACCAGCTCCCTTCTGAGGAGTACTCTGCATACAAAACTGCATAAGGCAAAGGCACTTTAACACATAGGGAATTTAACCCTATCTGAACTATGTAAAAGAAGGTAAGGAACCAAAACCCTGGAATTTAATTCAGCTTAGTCAGAATCATTTTACTGGTCCCTTTCCCCAGTCTCTCAATTGGAAGGTGCCATCCCCAGACACCCCTAGTAACAAAAAGGGTATCCCTCTGGAGAGTCAAGAGCTCTCACGAGAGCTCATCCAGTTCTACCCCCTAGCTACAAAGCCAGGTTTGGCCAACTAGAATACTGGGAAAGACAAGACGACCCATAAAGACAGGGGACTGACACACGTGTTAGGCCTCTGGGCAAGTGCGGGGACAGCTCCGTGCTCCAGGAAAGGGCAGGGCCTCAGGTAGAAGGGGTGGGGGCCAGAGTAGCCCACCCTCAGCCATGCCTGGATCCTGCGGTACAGCACTTTGGTGGCCATTTAAAGCAGGGGTGGCCAATCTGTGGCTCTTCACCCCTGAAAGCGCGGTTCATGAAGCTGCCCCATGCTCTCTGTGCTCATTGGGTGCAGTGGAGCCGTCCAGCATTGCAAGATGGCTTTGGCCGACAGGAACCTGATGTGCCTACCCATGGTTTTTAGAGGAGCAGCGGTTTTTTGTTTGCTCAACAACTCTGGCTGGTGGGAGCTCTTCCCTTTTTCAGCGCTCTTCGTTTAATGGGTTGGCCACCCCTGATTTAAAGGGCTCTGGGTTCTGGCAGCAGAGAGACTCAGGCCCCTTTGAATCAGCAGGCAGCTGTCCACCCCCGAGGCAGGCCTGCATAAAGACTTCAGGACACTATTGCCTGTGGTCATGTCCCTAATGGTGGAGAAAGGCTTCGTCCCCAAGCACAGAACAGACCCAGTTTTAGAAGCATTTCCGTGCACTAGCGCTGGTATCATTTCTGTCTCCCCCTCCTGCCAAACTAAAAGATTCATTTCCACAGAAGTCAAGTATCCTGCTTCACGCCCAACCTGCAGCCATACATTGTCACATACAACAACTTTCTTCATGTGCAAGTGAACAGACTGATACTGATAGCAAAGTGCATCGCCATGGCCTCGGTTCTGGGAAGGGTGGAGAATGCTTTGGGTTAACACTGCCCCATATGAGGAGCAGGAGAGCAACCAATGTAAGAAAGCAGGACAGCAAAAATCAAACTGCACTGAACTGGGACAGGCAAAAATCTTTAGCTCAATTGGGAAAGGGGCTCTTCATCACAGAGATGTGTTGACTGTCATCCAAGCTCATACATGTGCACACCATTCTGTAGCATGAACTACAGCGGCGGTTTCCCCTAGAGGTGCAGTAGGCCTGTCTGCACACAGATAGAGGCTGCTGGTGAGATGAATGTCACTGAAGCAAATCAAAATCAACACAGTAAGTGAAACAAGACTCTGAGCAATAAAGCTTTACTCCAAACAGAACAGCTGCAGCGTGTGCGCGATGCCAAGGCAGCAGAACCTCCTCCCACAGGGACCCTTCTGCAGCAAGAGAAGTCAGAGTTCAAGAGCCCCATTCCTCTGGTATCAGAAAATGCAGTTCCAAGGACGCTAGGTCACAGTGCAAGGTACCTTGGGCATAAGCAAGTATTCTAGACACAGCCCCCCCTCTGGTGTGTTTAGACCCCAGCCACCAGTCTGTGACCATGTCAAACAGCAAACGCCACATGATTTGTTCTGGAATGTACAGAAAATGGACTCTGGAGCACATCCCCTAGCCCACGCTTTCCTAATGCTGGGTCCATTTAATACTCTTCAGGTCAATTCCGTCCTGCACCATTTCCCACAGGGGACTGTAAAGAGAAAGGAAAGATGACAAGTATCAGCTGGGATGCCAAGGCTAATGGGGTCACTGACAATTGTCAGCCACAAATAAGCTGTGTCTTTCTCTTGCCAAGGAACTGGATGAGCAGAAGGGAGAATCATTTAAAGAGATTTCCATACTGGGAGAGCAAAGGAAGATCTCACCCCTCACAGTCCAAGAGTGAGAGGGCAGGTGTCCAATTCCCCCCACCCCACAGGCCAGGGGGAGTCAGTGACTGATCTGCAGGAGCAGCATCAGGTATCAATGGAGAGGTAGAATTATTTCCTGTGTATTCACCCTCCTCCCTGCATGGCTCCCACCTTCCTTCTCTGTTGTGCGCCAGAGGTGGTTCAGGATTAACCGCAATATTGACCCAGAAAAGTGGGAAGCTGTTAGCAGGGGTTCCCATCCATGTTTCATTTAGAAACATTCACATTCCAATGAAATCTAAAACATAAGAAATATCAGGGATCAAGAGCCTTCCACCTCCCACAAAAGCTTAGAGGAAATGTGCAGTGATTCATTGTCATCTCTGCCTTGTAAGGGAGTGGCTCACCTCATCTCCCTCAGTCTTTTGACGTGTTGTATACACTTCTGCACGGTATAATCCACTTCTTCTTCTGTGGTGAAACGCCCAAGGCCAAACCTAGCACAACACAAAGATGCCCCATGTGGGCACTAACATATGGGAGGGCAGAACAGAACAGAGCCTGCTCTGAGTGTAGGAACGGAAACAATTTGGAGAAGAGCAAGGATCCATTCACTGACCTGATGGAGGAGTGAGCCAAATCTTCATCAGTCCCAATTGCTCTTAACACGTAGGACGGTTCCAGAGAGGCAGATGTGCAAGCACTAAGAAAAAAGGATGAGAGAATGTTACCCTTTATTTTCACACAGAGCTCCTCTACTAATGAAATTTAACATTATCAGTAACTTCCGTTGGAGAGTATAGGATTTCAAGGCTCTTAGCACCACCAAAGAGCTCCAAGGCTCTTTAGAGAACACACAGTTGTTTTGTAGCCCCTGGGGATAGAGCCAATGAAAACAAAGAGATGGTGTAGGCAAAGACAGTACCAAGTCTAGAAGTAGCGGAAGAGAAGGAAGGGCAGAGGAAAACCAAGCTACTGAGACGACAGGCTGAGGAAAGGAGAGCACAGAAATGCGTGTGGAGACTTCCCAGGCTGACACGCCAATCAGCCAGAGAGACCTGCCCTTGCACAACGAGAGAGAAGGAAACAGCTCCTGTCTGGGGCAGTCAGGCTGCTGGGGACTTCTGGCAGCAGGCGGTGCTCCCCTCTGACTCCCAGCCCCTAGCCCCAAAGATGACAAACCAGGACTCTGCCCTGGCAAGGAAGGATGAGGAATCTCCCCCACCCCCCAAAGGTGGAGGCGGCCAAGCCATGTACCCCCCAAAGCTGCACGGATCATGGCCATCATGCCTAAGAAGAAATAAAGGGTCAGTGGTTGCCTTCTAAGCGGACAGGAGGGACCCAACTGCTGGCCTGACCTGGCATCCCAGGAGGTGGGCTGCTGCCTAGGGGCCTGTACAAGCTGCTATGGAAGGCTTGCCAAGGATCCCCTGGCCCTCTGGCTGCTGCCCCAAGCTGCTCATCCACGTGGGCACTAACAGTACTGCCAAGTACGACCCAGAGCAGATCGCGAGGGCATGGCAGAGAAAGGATACTCCAGGGACACCCAGCAACGCCAAGTGAAAATAAAGGCGCTCAGGCATGTGTACCAGAAGATAAAGGAGGCAAATGGTCCGTCTGATCAGCACCGTAACCATGCCATTTCTTTGAGCAGCTGCATGGGACCCTGGGTGGGCCAGGAAGGATCCCAAGCTAGTTCATGGATTCCTCCCAAGACACTTCTCAGGCTGCAGCGTGGAGGACAGTGAAGATGAAGAGAAAGAGGAGAATGGACAACAGGTAAGCAGAGGATCCAATCTCACCAACAGCCAGGCCCTGTTTATAACTTGAGACACAATCCCTCCTCCCAGGGTGTCTCGCAGCTGGGCCCTGATCCTGGGGAGTTCACATATGTAAGCATACAAGTGGCACTTGGAGGTAAACTGGCGGGATCGCTGAGCCGATATACTGAAGGGGCTCCCAGAACAGCCTGTTAACATGCCTGCAGATGGAATGGGAATCCTCCCTGTGTATCACAGAGGAATTCTTTGATCCTTCTCACAAGGTTTCTGGGGAGGCTGCCTTATTCTGTCCTCCACCACAGGACACCTTCCCACACCAGCAATAAGTGGTCTGGTATCACTGCAGCATAAGGTTCAGGTTTCTGGCCACATTCAATAGGTATCCGCTCCCTATCACTCTGGGTGAATTCGGAGAAGACAGATTTTGCACATGGCAACCTGGATGAAGCAGGGGAAGCTCTGCAACTGATACCACAGTAGTACGCCTCCGTTTGCTCACTCCCAAGAAAGCATTGCCCCTGCCACGCCTTGCCGTTCTGCCCAGACCACTTCCCCCTCCCACCCGCAGTCTCCTGTGAGAATGCAAAGTAGCACTCCATGCCACTGTGGCCTCTCTTTCCAAACACAGAGGCTTGCCTACCTGCAGGAGCTGTTTGCAGGCACCGTGCTACACATGCTTTCAAAGCAGAAGCAACAGAGTGAGCCCCAACCTCTTCTTTGCCATGCCTGCCACTAAAGCGAGTCCAGCTGCTCCCAGATCTCTGAGGTGTACCTGCTTCTTAGCATAACTTTGGCCTTGTATATAACACCTGCCTATTGTCTTGGACAGATGTACCTTTATGCTAAAGAAATCAGGTTCTACACTCCATAACGCATCTCCTCTAAAACCTGCCCTTCACTTTTTGTTACAGCGAGTGCAACAGTGAGACTGCTGCACGCTCCCCTGGTTCTGGCTCCTGCAGCTGTTCATCTAGCACAGATCTAAGGCAAAAATTTGGCAGGGATGACATTCAAGGAGCAAATGCAATCCATTCACTTGGATAGGGAGCGAATGAATGGAGGAAATGCTGCTGCAGGAGCACAAGGACAGAAAAGAGAATAAAGATAAGACACAGGAGACAGTCTTGACAGCGTGGTGGTGCTGATGATTAGGGGTATTAAGAAGCATGTAATTCATTAATTGTGTAGTCAACAAAATTTTTGTCAACTACACAATTAATCAATAAGGGTTAGCACTGCAAGAACTCAGTCTCAGAATGCACCAGGTCCTGGGAGCTACCGCCACTGTGGCTCTGCACTGAAAAGTAATTTAGGGGCAAGATGGGCAGGCAGCCCGACTCAGTACCAGCTGGCGCCATGTCCCTAGAGCTACCCACACTGCAGCTCTGCAGGAAAAGTAATTTAGGAGCTGGGCTGGCAGGCATCCTGGCTCAGTCCCCACTCCTAAAATTCTTTCAGTGCAGAGCCAGAGCGGGGGTAGTGCCTGGGACCAGGCACCAGCCAGGACTGAGCCAGGGTGATGGCCAGCCCTCTAAAACGGTTACTGGGGGGGGGGGGATGTATGTAGTCAGTAGCATTAACCAATAAGCTTTTGCTTATTGGTTAATCGACTACATTATTACATCCCTACTGACGACACGTCGGATTCACACAAAAGCCAGATGCACAGGCATCCCCTCCAGCTCATACTGACCCACATTCCCTCCTCACCAAGTTCCGTAGCCACCTCTCCCAGGGGCTCCAGCATGTGGGGAGGGGAAGGGTCACGGGCAGCGTCACATTCAACCCCCAGAGTCCCAGAACAAAAGGCTCATCCCTGTGACATTGCTCAACAGGGAGATTGCAATACTCCCCCTTTCCTTCTCACCCCCCTGCCAAGCTCCTGCCCTGAATCCCCCTTTTGTCCCTTCTTCTTTGTGTTCCCTAAATAAAAAAGCATGATTATTAATGGTGTTGCATGGGGAGGGGGTTTTATAGGCAAGCACACTTAAAGCAGGGGGCACCTCATTAAAAGCAACATGCACAACTGTCATCTCACCGTTTGGCCATTCACAGAGCGGCCTGTTTTTCAAAGCCTCTAATTTGCTGTGCCCCTCGATGTGCTCTCCTCATTGCCCTGGTGTCTGCTTATAATGAGTAGCTAGACTCTCTCCCTTGGCCACCCATCCTGACAGAAAAGCTTTCCTCCTCACTTTCACAGCTAATATGGAGCACACCACAGGCTGCCACGACACTGAGAATGCTGGTTTTGCTGAGGTCTAACCTAGCAAATAAACTGCAAAACCTTCCCTTGAAACACCAAACACACATTCCACCCCCATTCTGCACTTGCTCAGCCTGTAGTTACTCCTTCCTGCGGTCCAGGCTGCCTGTGTACGGCTTCACGGTCCAGAGAAAGAAGGTCTAGGCTGGGTCTCCAAGGCATTTCAACACTTCCAAGGGTCATTTTCCAGTTTGGGAAGAAAGTTCCATCTTGCTGCTTTTCGAAGAGACTGAAGGATGTGCTGGTCATGAGCCTTTCCTGACCATCCTACACGGATGTTGGTGAAACAGCCCATGTGATCCACCTGTGTCTGCAGCACCACCAAGAAGTGCCCCTTGCAGTTCATAGAATCATAGAGCTGGAAAAGACCTCAGAAGGTCATCCAGTCCAGCCCCCTGATCTAGGCAGGACCAATCCCAACTAAATCAACCCGGCCAGGGCCTTGTCAAGCCGAGACTTAAGCACCTCTAGGGATGGAGACTCCACTACTTCCCTAGTAACCCATCCCAGTGCTTCACCACCCTCCTAGCGAAATAGTTTTTCCTAATATCCAACCTGGACCTCTCCCACCACAACTTGAGCCCATTGCTCCTTGTTCTGCCATCTGTCACCACTGAGACCAGCCTCTCTCCATCCTCTTTGGAACCTCCCTTCAGGAAGTTGAAGGCTGCTCTCAAATCCCCCCTCCCTCTTCCCTTCTGCAGACTAAACAGACCCGACTCTCTCAGCCTCTCCTCATAGGTCACATGCTGCAGCCCCCTCATCATTTTGGTTGCCCTCCGCTGGACCCTCTCCAATGCGTCCACATCCTTTTTGTAGTGGAGGGCCCAGAACTGGAGACAACACTCCAGATGCAGCCTCACCAGAGCTGAATAAAGGGGAATAATGACATCTCTGGATCTGCTGGCAATGCTCCTCTTAGTGCAACCTAGTATGCCATTAGCCTTCTTGGCTACAAGGACACACTGTTGACTCATATCCAGCTTCTCATCCACTGTAACCCCCAGGTTCTTTTCTGCAGAACTGCTACTTAGCTGGTTGGTCCCCAGCCTGTACCAATGCTTGGGATTCTTCCCTCCCAAGTGCAGGACTCCGCACTTGTCCTTGTGGAACCTCATCAGATTTCTTGTGGCCCAATCCTCCAATCTGTCTAGGTCACTCTGGACCCTGTCCCTGCCCTCCAGTGTATCTACCTCTCCCCCATCTTAGTGTCATCTGTGAACTTGCTGAGGGTGCAATCCATCCCCTCATCCAGGTCGTTAATAAAGATATTGAACAAAACCGGTCCTAGAACCGAACCTTGGAGCACTCCGCTAGAAACCGACCACCAGCCTGACATCGAGCCATTGATCACTACCAGCTGGGCCCAGCCTTCTAGCCAGCTTTCTATCCACCTTACCGTCCATTTATCCAATCCACATTCCCTTAACTTGCTGCCAAGAATATTGTAAGCTGAACAGCTCTCACCTCCTGACCCAATGGGCCGTTTTCAGAGCATCCCATATCAGAGAACAGCTGCACTTCAGACTTACAGAGCAAACAAAGGGCATAGAGGTGCCTGCTCCAAAGCGTGCAATTCCCTTGCAAGAATGTTTAGCATTCTGCCCCAGATTATCCACACTCACCTTCCTGAAGACAGAGCCACGTCTTTCAGGGCCATTAGCAGACTCTCTCCTTCCACATACGCAAAAGATAAATTGATGCAGCCTGCATAGTTAAAACAAAAAAGGGTCACCTGAACTCTGAAGAAAATCCTTTCCCACATCCTGGGGGGACTAGGGGACACACGGAGCCAAATTTCACTGAGTTTCCTGCATTCAGACTTAGGTTCAAGATGGGTCGGGCAGGGGACGGAGGGTCTGTAGGCTGCAGAGTCCTGCAGACGTAGGATTTCTCTCCCCTGGCCCCTGCCCAGTGACTGTCCTAATCCCTATTTCAGTCATTTCACCTGTTCCAGGACTCAGACCATAGACCAAAGGGAAGCAGGCCAAAAACTCTGCAGCTCACTGGAACTAAACCCCATAATTCCTAAAGTGTGCTGACATTCCTTCAGCACTGCTGGTTTTACATTAACCCAGGAGGTTTTACTGAATTAACAACTAAATAATTAAGTCTCTGCCCCCATTATTCATTGTGGTACTAAATCCACAAGAGACTTCAGCTTTGCCCCCAAATTTCCAAACAGTTGCAGGGTTGTGTCCTGCCGAAGCGTAACTGCACAGGAGAGCTGGTACAAGAGAACCCAGAATGCTTCCATAAAAGCATCAGGGCAAAAAGACTTCTAGCTAGGCCAGAGGTATCACCTAAGCTAGCCTGGCCTCTTCTATATCACAGGCTGGCCACCAGCACCCCCACACTGAAGCCAATAGCCAAACAGACCCAAGCATGCCCACCCCAGAGGCCTAGATTTCTACATGCCACAAACTGGAAAGAGAAGGGACAGAGGTGCCCCAGTGCCCGAGACGCCCACAATGGCAGGCTTTAAATGAGTACAGTAAACGTCCGATAATCTGGCACCTTTAGGACCCAGGGGGTGCCGGATTATCAGTTATGCCGGACTATCGGAAGGGGGGGCTATGAGGGGTCTGGGGTAGGGTGGGGGATGCCACCCCAGGCCCCTCATAGCCCCCCCTTCCGATAGTCCGGCATACCTGATAATACGGTACTCCCTGGGTCCTAAAGGTGCTGGATTATTGGAAGGTT